TGAGCATTTAACCAAATGGCATGAATCTGCTATGTTAAGTTTTCTTCCCATCCTGAAGATTCAAGCAGCTCCTCATGATCCAGACTTTTAAAATTTTTTTGTGGAGATGGGGGTCTCGCTGTGTTGCCCAGGCTGGTCTTGAAGTCCTGACCTCAAGTGATCTTCCCACCTCTGCCTCCTGAGTAGCTGGGACCACAGGTGCAAGCCACCATGCCCTGCTGAATCCAGCCTAATGTGAATTTTTCCTTCGTTGATGTTGGCCCACTTAAGCCCAGGTCCAACAACTTAATGAGCAGTTTGGGGGGATGGGGGGAGGGTCTATTGGGAATAGAAATGAAACCAGCTTCATTTGTTTAAGTGCTGGAAGATAATCTTAGACCTTAACTGACCTGAGTTCTGCCATTCTAAAAATAAACACCCAGTGAATGTACACTTGTATAGTTCTGGTGGACCATAGGCTAGAGGCAAGGTCTCCTGTCTTTCAGGACTATACTACAATGCCTTCATTTTAAAGCATTTAAAACTTTGACTTTTAGGTACAGTTCCATATTCAAAAAGTCCATCATGATTGGAGTAATAAAATGTGGTATATGTATACCATGGAATACTATTCAGCTTTAAGAAACAATGGTGATATAGCACCTCTTGTATTTTCCTGGATAGAGCTGGAACCCATTCTACTAAGTGAAGTATCTCAAAAATGGTACATCACATGTACCCATCAGAGAATTGGTATTAACAGATCAAAACTTCAGTGGACATATAGGAATAACACGGGCAGGTGGGAGGGGGTAAGGTGGTAGGGGTATATACAAACACAATGAGTGAGATGTGCAACGTTTGGGGGATGGTCATGCTTGAGGCTCTGACTTGAGGGGGAGGGGGGGCATGGACAATATACGTAACCTTAACACTTATACCGCCATAATATGCTAAAATTAAAAAAAGGAATTATATAATATATACATATATATAATAATTAATTTTAAAAATATTCCTCAAAAAAAAAGTCCATCTTTCCATTTGGCCAAATTGAGAGGAATCTAGACTCCATTTAGAAATCTTTTAAGAGAGAGAATATAGATGCCTTTGGCAACCCATGCCAGGATCTCACAGCCTTCCCCACTATGAATTTTTATGTGCTATTTCCTTCCTCCAGCCCCACTCCCACAAAATGCCACTACCTATTACTCCCTTTGAGCAAATAGGGATTTTAGTCATTCTCTTTTTCCTTGATTTTAATCCTGTGTAGGTCTGCCTGCACCATTTGCCACAGACAACGTGCAGAAACTTCACTTACAATGAAAGTCATACTTCTCTTGGTAGCCTGGCATTTCAGCATTTAAAGAAGCTAAGTAGCTCTGTCCTCATTAAATTAGGCTCAAATTGGAGAGGAGAATTACATACTTAAAAACACAGATGCAAAATGATGGATTAATGTTATACCTTAATATAACACATCTTGACATGCAGTAGGAGCGTTAGACCAATTAGCAAGCAAGTCTTCTACTCGGGTTCATCTTTTCTGCTGTGTATGTAGAAGGAATGGCAATTTGAAGGATGGCATTTATCAAACCCCTTTGGAGAGAAAGTTTCCACTTCAGTGATGTGACCTGCATTCATTTAACAAAAACCCCATCACCCGGGAACATGGCAAAGACCCAGTGCTACCCCAAAAGTACTGCCTCCAAATTGGCATTTATGCTTCTGACTTTATTTCTAAAAATTAATTAAAATCCATTGCAATTGTGTCTAACTTGGAGTTTTAATGTGCTCCAAAAATATATCCTGCTCTTTTCTTGAGAGCTAGCAAATCGTAAGTGATGCCTTTAGCAGGTTTTTTTGGCCTGAGTTCCCCACCCCCAGCCTTTTTCTGATCTTGCTTCCATGTTAGTCTGATTGGTAACAGAAAGGAGAGGGGAACAATAAATCTCCCAGTACCTCCTGGTGTGAATGCCCAAGATACTGTCAGAAGCAAAATGTATGGGGACGTGGGGGGGAGTGTGGGTCAGCAACTTGGTGGGGGGAAGGGATGGTTTTCTGCTAGGGTAAAGCAGAAAAACCCTGTCGCCCAGTTTAAATTAACAGAATCTGCCCAGAGGGGAGCCGTGGTCTTTGTGTGGCTGATTAATGTCAGCCCGGTAAACGCTGCACTTCAACCGCGGGGCTAGCCCGCTGAGCAGGAAGCTTGGAGAACACAGCGTCTCCTGCTTAGGGGATCAGAGCCCGGCTGAGTGCCTCTGAACAGGGCTGAAGAGAAAACTGCAGCCCTGGAACGTGGGTGCTATAATTAGATTTCAGCTATCTGTCCCAATGAAGGAAACACGGAGACCCTTAAAAGCACCTTCCCTTCCGGCCTTGCTGCGGCAGAGAGTGAGCGGCAGTGTGTAAATCCAACCCCTGCCTCTCCTAACTCAGCTGGTCAGAGCACCGTGGCTTTCAGAACAGTGAGTCAGAAATTACCTTCCTCCCTAACTGATCTTCGGGCCTGAAGAGGAATAATGTTCAGGCATAGATCTGAAGTCCCTTAAGAGAACTGAGCAAAGAGCCTAGAGCAAACAGGACTTCGCTTGTTGTCCTTTGTGCTTACCTAAAGATGCCGGTGGCACCAGGCAAGCCCACCAGCCCTTGGGTAATGCATCAGCGAAATGGGTTTTGTGGTTGCCAGCACATGTTCCCATAAAAGACCCAGCATGCATTTCCTGCCTACTCGTCTTCTTGGCAAGAGCAGTGTACCATATGCTGAGGGTGGAAGTTAAATCCGTAGGGAATGTGTGTGATTTGAAAACTTATGTGGTATATTTATGTCAATCGCTGATGTGTTTCCATAAATGCATTTTTGTGACTTTGAGAGGCATCCGGAGACCATTGAATCAGTCAAGGCAGCTTCTGGGGCATACGACCTATTCTGACACCGAGACAGGGCTATTTGTTTTCCAGGTGCAAGCTTGATCACCTCTGCAACCCTTTGTGCATTCAACCCAGGCATTTATGTTGAAGAATTTAATCTTGCAGCCACTCCAGAAATAGCTGAAGGCATCCCCGAAACCTCTACTCTGGAGCCTTATATCAAGGGGCAGCAAGAGAAGAGAAAAGCCTTCTTGTTTTTAAATCCAGTACCAATAAAATCAGAGGATGATGTTTATACATCACAGGGTGGTCGTTTTGAAAGAGAAATAAAAATAAATAATGAAACTTTGGAAAAAAAATGGACTCTCTGGAATGGAACCAAGAACAAGTGCTCAGTGTTGACCTTTTGGTTAAAGCCATATAATGCAATTTATGTCATCCCCTCCAGATATATGACTTTATTGGTTTGCTGGGAATTTAGGCTTAAGGGAAATTGTATATTGGGTAAGTAAAATGTTTAGCTCTTAATTGCCAAGTGAAGTGTTATAATAGAAGGAAAAAAAAAAACATGGCTAGGCCCTCCCCTCTAAGAGCTTATGTTCTAGGGTTCTGTGATTCTCAAAGGACATTTTCAGATGGTTTTCATAGCTAAAGACCCATGACTAATAACTGTCTTCATAAGAGCTATTAGGATTAGAATGGTGCTTTTTCATCCTACAAAGTTGTTCCATTTTCCTTCTTATAAATCTTAATGACTAAAGTGAATTTGAGGTTTTTAAACTGCTTTGAAGTGCTAAGATTCTCTCATAAAAACAGTTAAATCAATCTTCAGAACCAGAAGTCAGTCCAACCCAACCATTATTCAGTAATTTGTTGGTTGTTGATGGACATTCTCTGGTTGATATGTTTAGGCTTTAGTATATATTAACGTAAAATAGCATTTTAGTAACCGTGTTTCTTGAAGCCATAGAGCTAGAGATCACCTTTGGACTAGGTCCTTTCTCTTCCTTGAAAGGGCCTTGGATTTATTTTTTCCCTTCATAGTTCCTTATGACCCCATTCTTGTGGCTTTGCGTGCCGTCTGTGCATTGATGATGCTTAAGTGCTTGAGTGTACAAGCTCCACCTTGGCCCTCTCTATCCAACTTGCTGCTTGACATCTCTATTTGATCCTCAAATGCATACCTCAGACTCAACCTGTCTCAAACGGGCTTCTGGTCTTTCATTTAAAACCTAGTCCTTCTGCAGCCCCTTCCATCTCAGTAACAGTTACCCTCTCTTTCCAGTTGCTCAGGCCAAAACCTAAGAGTCGTCTTGAAAACCTCTCTTTCTCTTACATTTTATATCTATCTTGCCAGCCCCACAATCAGAAAACATTCCATACTCACCATCTCCGGGGTCAGAATACATCCAGGACCCCCTCACTGCACACCACCTGTGTGCTCAGAATAGATCTGGAACCTGACCCCTTCCCACCACTCCTCACAGTGGGCCCCATGTGCCACCAGTGTCACATGCCCGTATTCCCGCGGGAGGCTGTGTGCTGGTCTCCCTGCTTCCTCCCTGGCTGCACTTCAGTCTGCTCACAACCAGCAGCAGGAGGGATGCTGTCAAAATCTAAGCCACTTCCCATGACTACCCTCTCTCAGCCCTCCAGGGCCTTCCCGCTCACCACCACACCCCCACTAGAATGTAAAGATATCCTCAAGAAACGTGGGACTCTTCTCCATTGCTAAAACCTCTAGCACCTAGAATAGTGACTGGTAGATTCTAAATAAATATTTATTGAAGCCATTAATTGAGTGAGTGATTTCTATTTCTCCTTCTGTGGCACATCTATGCCCACGCATCCATTGGCATCTGAGAGTTTCCCTTAAACATTTATGGGAGGATGGGTTGTATATTAAGAATATTCAACTATTGCTAATACTTGTGGCCAATATTTTCCCAGTTTCTTTACCTTTTAATTTAGTTGTATTTTTTTTTTTTTTACAAACTGAAGGTTACATTTTCATAGGACTGCAGCTATCTGTTTCTGTAATGATTATTTTTCTTTGCGTGGCCCTTCAAAAGTCAGCGAAGCCATGACGCTCCAGTGCAGATCATCTGGCCACGTTCTTGTCCGCTCACGTTCCTCTGTCGCTCCCACAGGCATCAACAGGAAGGTTGTGTACTCCCTGGCGGACTCGGCCGATGGGGTCTTCTCCATCGACAGCTCGTCAGGCATCGTTATCCTGGAGCAGCCGCTGGACCGCGAGCAGCAGTCTTCCTACAACATCAGCGTGCAGGCCACCGACCAGAGTCCCGGACAGTCCCTGTCCTCTCTCGCCATCGTCACCATCACCGTCCTGGACATTAATGACAACCCCCCTGTGTTCGAGAGGAGGGACTACCTGGTGACAGTGCCTGAGGACACTTCTCCAGGCACCCAAGTCCTTGCTGTTTTTGCCACCAGCAAAGATATCGGCACAAATGCTGAGATTACGTATCTCATCCGGTCTGGGAATGAACAGGCGAAATTTAGGATCAACCCAAAGACAGGTGGGTATAGAGCAGCCTACTTAGAATTCAGGGTTCACTAGACCCTGCTTCTCTCAGTAGTCTCACTGCCCTTGTTGGTGGGTGGTTTTTCTTTCCTCCTCCTACCTCCTGTGCACTGGAAACAAATCAGGTAGCAGAGCTCGCACGCAGATCCCAGATTCCCTCCCTCCAGCACTCTGCTTCTGAGGGTGAGCCCTGCTAAATTTAAGCTCCTAGCTGTGGGCTTACTTGGCAAATACCTGACCCCCAGGTTGGCTCCAGGCTTTCTAGATGGGAGGACTCGGGGGCGGCAGTATGGTTCCTGGATGGGGAGAGGAAATGGTATTTATATTCCAAGCACAGAGTTTGTTTCTCTCTTTTCTGTTTGCTTTTTTATCCACATCGCATGTGCATGTGTTAGAAAATACTCCTGGAGATGAGCCTCCACTCGCCACTGTCCACACTTAGACTACCACTCTCAGGTCACCTGCCAAGGCAGATGACAGTGAGTGATTTGCATGGTGACATGGTGACATGGTGCAGCCTTCTCAACCCAGCACCCCCAGTAGCCTCCATCAGTGGTTTGGAACCAGTGCTGTGCCTGAACCCTGCTTGCTGCTCCTTCCTGGGCAGAAAGCTCATTTCTCACCACATATTTTTCAAAATCTGGGGGAATGTGTAGCATCACCTGGGGAAAAAGGTGCCTATAAAGAAACCAAAAGAAAAAAAAAATAGAACCCTTAGGCTTTCTTTGTATCTGTGAGTTAATAAATATTAGAGGGGCTTTGAGTAAATAAAGATGGTAATTCAGAAAACAAATTTGGATATTCTTTTAAGAGTAAACATACTCACTCTTGTACTTTCATGGAGTGTTTGGATTTCGATTTCAAAACCCTTTAGCCTATGTTCTCATTTGTTTGCCAATTCCCCTATCAATAGTCAAGGCAGTTCTCATTCTGCAAACAAGAAAGGTGAGTCTCTCACCCCTTCCAGCCTTTGGACATATTTTCCTTATTACTCAAGGAGTGTGCACCTGTCGAATGAGGTGGCAGAGGAAGTCCATTCTCCGTTGGCTAGTCCAGTAAACACAAACAAGAAACTGTCATAATCAGCAATATTTATTTAACATGGCAAATACACCAAGTTCTTATTAAATTATTAGGTATTTCTCACATTTTCCATGTGAGAAAAATAGAGCTTCAAAGAGGTTAAATAATTTCCCCAATGTCTGCTGTTCGTAAGTGTGTTATACAAGATCTGGACTCAGATCTTCGTGCTCTAATGTTGATATAACACTGCTGTACTATGGGGCTGCAAAAAAATGCAAGAGATACAATCCTGGCCCTTAAGTATAAGAAGGTGTAAATATTGATGGAGGAATTACATTAGCAGCTTCTCCCAGCAGTAACTCTGTTCATTAAGGTAAATTACGTTAAATTAAAATGTATGGGGATTTGCCTCATTTAAATATGCCTTAGCCTGTCTAGTTATGGTCATAGTATATGTACACCATGGGAAAATGGTTAAGTACTATTTCAGTTTGGCACTGGCTAACAAGACTAGAATACAAAAGAAAGCAGTAGGAGTGGTGAATGCTAAGGAAACTTGACAATGGGAAGAAAGAGGCTCTTGTTATAGGTCTGACTTCTGTGTTTCACTGTAACTGGGCCTATTGGCAGTCTTAGCAGCTAGAGAAGGTGCCTGTCCAGAAATGTGAAGAGACGTGACCTTCTCACCAGTCCTGATGATTGGTTACCATGTGGGAGCAAAGCAAATGCCCTTGAGAAGTGCTCTGCAGGCAATCCAGTGACCACATGCAGAATGCAGGAGCAGTGGCCTCACTAGCAGGGCTAGAAGTGGGGAGAGAGCACTAACAGAGCCCCTCCTAGAGGTGGCACCCAGCTAGCGGCTCTCACATGTTCTACTTGCTTCCTGTAAACAACTGGGTGACATGGGCATTATCATCTCTGCGCTGTAGTTGTGGGCACTAAACTCACACTTAATATTTGGCCATTGAGCTGCCTGGATCCTAGGTAGTTCCTTTTCTATTATGTCACTGTACCTTGAGATTTCTGAGATCTTTGCCCTCTTTGGGCCGTAATAGTTTGAGATAAGCACATTATAACTTGGCAAGGCCCCTTTGCAGTTAATTCAATTCGGTGAAGTCTGCAAGTATTTATTTGCTGACAAGGATGGCGTCACACAGTCACTTCCACACATCTATGCTCGCTTTTGGTCTTCCCAGGTCCGATGGGCTGGGAAATACCTATCGGGGATGCCTTTTCCTGTCCCTACTCCTAGTTGCGCGGGAGTGAACGATGCCAGAGATTTTCAGGCTGCTCAAGAGATGTTCAGGAACTGTTACGGAAACATGCGAAGACTTTTTCATTTCTTCAGTGTTGTGTTTGATGGATAGCTGCACTTTCACTGACAGCATTACTCAGATTTCTGGAATGCTTTCAGTAAGGCATTAAATAAACAAATGCCTGAATATCTAGAATTCTTGGCTTGAGATGGTGTTATAAATATTACCACGATTATAGAACTGCTGACCGATGTTTTTCTCTAATCAAAGCTAAAGCTCCCCATTTTTCTTCAAAGGGGGTATTTCCGTCTCTGAGGTCCTGGACTATGAATTATGCAAAAGGTTTTACCTGGTGGTGGAAGCCAAAGATGGGGGCACCCCAGCTCTCAGCGCCGTGGCCACCGTGAGCATCAGCCTCACAGACGTGAATGACAACCCGCCCAAGTTCAGCCAAGACGTCTACAGCGCAGTCATCAGTGAAGATGCCTTGGTGGGAGACTCTGTCATTTTGGTAGGTGCCTGGGCAGGCAGTGGGGGTCTAGATGTTGAGGACTGATCATCCTCAACAGAGTGAAGAAGTGAGCAAAGTCTGTCTTGGATTTTCTTCACATTTCCCCTTTCTATATCCATTTGTCCCCAAGAATTGTAGTCAGGCACTGGTCTTTGAAGGGCTTCTGCTGTGTATTTATTAGAAAGGGTCTGACAGATTAATGTATATCAAGATATAAGCGATTGCTAATCATTTATCTCCCAGGAGTGTATATTTTTTGAGAAAACAAAAGAGATCATGCAGTGAATTTTTAATGATGGTTCCTACTAGTTTATAAACTTAGATGACAGGTTATTGGGTGGGTAGGAAGGAATATGGTGCTGTCTTTTTATTGAAATCTATCACACAGCATGGTAAGTATAGTTAATAATAATGTATTATACATTTCAAAATTGCTAAGATAGTAATTTTTCAAATGTTCAAGAAAAGATATGTATTTGAGGTGATGGGTATGTTAATTAGTTTGATTTAATTATTCCACATCGTATTCATAAATCATAGCATCACTTTTTACCCCATAAATATATACAACTATAATTTGTCAATTTACAATTAAAAAGTTATTCGGTTGCTAAAGACAGAATAGAATCCCTCTCCCTCCCTACCATATACACACCTAGGCACACAGAGTGAGGCAGCTATATGTGGGAGCAAGTTTGAGATTGATTGGTCACTCTTAGAGGAGCCCTTTCTACAAGGAATTTTTTCTAGCAACAGTAAGACCAATCCGTGAGTTCTGAGAACTCAGATTCTCTTAGACCACAGATTGCATTGTATGCACAGTGAGTCCCATCTCACTCTTCTTACCCGTCCCTAGGCTGGATGGGTCCCTTCCATCCATCTCATGGCATCTCAGGCTGCGAGTAGCTGCAGGCCTCTGCTGGATGACAGTGCATTCCTTCCTTATACATCAGAGGTGGACTTGCCAGGCCCCCTCTCCTTCCAGCATAGTACAAGACCATTTCCATACATAAAAATCTCAGCATTACCAACATGGCGCAGCAGATGGTGGGCAGTACGTTTGCTATGTGGGAAGGGGAACTTTCTTGGGCTTCCTTAACATGGAAATGCATAGGTCTAAAGCATGCTTGACTCAGTGGCAATTTTGTGTTCAAATTCAAGAAGGAATCAGGAAGGCATCCCTGTCAGTTAGCTCTGGGTTCTATCCTTAGATTCTGAAGCCCCAAGGAAAATCAGGCCTAACAAGCATCAGGCTATAGACAGGTAAAAATTAACATGGAAATAAAATGGGGCTCCAATCTTGGTGCTGGCTTCTTTCAGCCCACTCATCACCTCTTGTGATGGGGGTGGTGTGGTCATTGGCATTAGGGATCAGAACTCCTGAGAAAAATGTCAGAGCTGTGCCTATTTAAACAGACACAGGTCCCTAAGAATCAACCTTTTCTCTGTCTCTTGTGTCACGTCACGTTGTGTCTTTGCTTTGCTTGTTTTTCCATCAAGCTAATAGCAGAAGATGTAGACAGCCAGCCCAATGGACAGATTCACTTTTCCATTGTGAATGGAGATCGGGACAATGAATTTACTGTGGATCCTGTCTTGGGACTTGTGAAGGTTAAGAAGAAATTGGACCGGGAACGGGTAAGCTAGTTTATGCCAGCTCCTTCCCTGGAATCAGAGGCACAGGCTCCACGAGCATAAATAGTGTGGTTCTTCATTCTAAATAGTAAATAGGGATGGGCTAAATACAGCATAAAGTATTTGGGTTAGACCTTTGAAAGAATTTTCTGCCAATATTAGATACTTACAATTTCTTACTTATGGGAGTTTTAAAGAAAAGGCAAATATGTGTCTTTCTGGATGGTTTGAAGTTCAGTCCGTCCTAGAGGAAGTGGGCAGAAAAGTACCTTCAGCGTTAGTATCCTGTGGTCCTATTTTTATGAGAAACTGTAGCCCTAGGTGAGCAGATACAGAAGGATCACCTGAAGGCATTTAAGTCAGAAAGAATGACCCAGAAAATTCCTCTGTCCAAAGTTAAACTAAATTTCTAAACACTGTCTTACTTGACCAAAAATATATGCCTTCAAATAGTAATTAAATATGGAAAAAGATGCCATTGTAGTGACACCAAAAAAACAGGTAGATTCCACTGGTTGACACATCTTCATAACCCCAGCAATGTTAACACTGATGAATCAGACAGATCACTGGTGACAACTGTTGCACTGAACAAAGGCCTAGAGCTGGGGTCCCAACTGGGGTGGTTTTGTCCCCAAGGGGACATTTAGCAATGTTTGCAGACACTTAGTTGTTACAACTAGACTGGGGGTAATAATGGCTCCTACTTTTGATAGAGGCCAGGGATGTTGCTAAACATGCCACAACACACATGTCAGCCCCCAACGACAAAGCATTATCCGGCTCCAAATGCCAGGGGTGCCAAGGTTGAAACACCTGGTCTAGAGAATCAAAGTGAAGATGTTTGATCTTTAACAAAGCATGGCCCAGACCTGCAGTTCCTCGGAGCGTGCACGGAAGGAAGGAAGCATTATGGTTCTTTACTGTCACCTCTTTGTGCCTTGGCAGGTGTCTGGATACTCCCTGCTTGTCCAGGCTGTTGACAGTGGCATTCCCGCAATGTCATCCACCGCAACCCTCAACATTGATATTTCTGATGTGAACGACAACAGCCCAGTGTTCACACCTGCTAACTACACGGCTGTGATTCAGGTAAGCAAATCTTGCCTTCCAGGCACTTGTCCTCGCGTATTCAGCTTCCTTCCTCTGCTATTGTTATGTTACTTAATGTCAATTCATCCCTTCAAAGGACAGGCATGAAACAAGCCTGATTCTTCGACCACAACTGACTAATAAATAAGAGCTACCAAGGATTGGTGTCTTTTAGGTCCCAGGTGCTTTATGTGTACCGCCTCTCCCCACAGTGGCCCTGTGAAGTGGGAGGCGGATTAGCCCCCACGTTATAGTTGAAGGAACTAAGGATCTGTGAGGTTAAGTAGTTCACCCAAGATCGTGCGGCTGGTAAGTGGCAGTCAGGCTTTGAACTTGGGTCTATCTTCTGCAAAAACACACTCTCTTTCCACAGTGACAAGCTGCCTTTAAGCAACTTCGTGCTATTCTGGCAGGGGAAGGGAATTTGATATATACCGTCTCATCAGTCAAAAGGAGATCAAGCATCAGGATAGAGCTGCTGCTCATTAAAATTAATCTTCCATAAGCAATTTGTTTAGCACTTTAAATCCACCTGCTCTTTGAAATTAGAATGCAGGATAGAGTAACCAACTGCTGGTATTCTGCTGTCAGAGAGAATGACTCTTCTTCCTATTTCTTATTCAGAAGATATTTCATGGGCACAGTATCAGGTCCTGAGCTTCCTCTACTTCCCAGTATTTCTAGAAGAGGCTAGAAGCCCAACCTTAGGAGGATCAGGAAATCCAGCCCAGGAGTACTGTCAATGTGGAGGCCTTAGAGGAGACAGAGATAGATGTATGTGTGTTGAAGGGCCATGGGTATTCTAGAGAATCAGCTCTTGCCTGATCCAGTTTGGCCTTGGGGAGTCCCAGGGCTCTGTGGGTGGAAGGTGAGATGCAGTGGGCCAGGTCTAGAGGGGCCCCTTTGGAATGACATTGAAGACTTTGGGTCTGGCCATCCATAGCCGGCCTCCCCCTGCCCCAGTGCTGCTGAGCTATCCAGTAATCAGATGGGGAGGCAGTCCTAAGGCCGGCAGCTACCCGCTTGTCCTCTCCCCTTTGGCAGTGCAATCTGATTTCTTCCTTCCCTAGTAGTGGTTTGGTTTTTCCCTCCTCTCTGAGGCTTTTCCCAGCAGCTGAGCACTCATGCATTCTGCCCCCTCGCCTGTTTCCACAAAGCTTGTCCTGAGTCCCTGCCTTTCTCCATCTCTCTGTCTCCCCAACTGCGCCTCTCCCTGCCTGCTATCTGCAGGGGCGCCCTCTGCCCTCTCACCGCCTCTGTTCGCCAGCCCCAGGACAGAATGGGCTTTGCCTGCTCAACATTCGTTTTAGGACACGCATCCATCAGCTTGACAGACTGTTTTCAAATGCACATCCGAAGTCTGCAGTGAAAGAACCAAGAGGCTCAGCCTGTGAGCCCTGGCCAGGTCCCCTGTCCCCGGCACCGGGCCTGCCTGTGTTATGTTACACCCTTCTTTCTCAGACATTGACCCTGAGGGCCACATTCTCTCTCTCTCTCTCCCTCTCTTCTACGGAGGAAATGGCCTTTATAGAGTGAGCACACAAATCAATAAATCTTCTGTTTTGTGGGATGCTGAGTAGGTTGTCATCGTGAAATATTAGTAAATCTGCGCTGTGCCGAGGCGGTCCCATGACTGATTCCAGAGGGACACGGTATCTAGTTTTTGATGAGCAAAAGGGCACTTGAGAGAAGGAGCAAAGAGAAGTTTGTGCAGTCCTTTCTCTTTCAAAAAGTGTGCCTCCCTTTCCGCAACACAGAGTGACTTCCTCATCCCATCACCTGGTTTTCAGAAGACTGATTCAGCACATAGAACTCGCGTGGCCCTGCCCTCCAACCTGCAGCCTATGGCTGTCTCCATCTCGGAGACCCAAGCTCATCTCATCCTCGTGTCGATGTTGTCAGGAGGTCTGACCTAATAAAACTGCCTCAGGCCCATGCCTTGGTAAAACCGAAGTCTGAACAGGGTGGAGACGGCAACCATTGCCTGAGCTATAGGGGATTTAATTCAGCATTCTCAAAGTGAAGATAACCTTTGACCCAAGAAGGAGCTTTGTGTTCCCATTTGGGGGAGAAGACAGAGAAGTTCTGCAGGATAATGCTTACGTGACAGCATCGGAGCTCCCAAAACTTCTGACCCAGCTAAGGAGCCTCCTTCTCTTCATTCTCAAGAAGTGTTTTACCCCCTTTCTCTTTCCTAAAGAAACATGGCAAAACTGTGATCTGGAAAGTGGGGTATAAAACCGCATTTTCCACCTGGCATATTGACTGGGAAGTTGCCACGGTGCCCCCCACCCTGTCCCAGAAAGTCCGATGTTGTGACATTGTCTGAGTGTTGGGCCTTAGCATAGTTGTGTTGCAACAAGTGTGAGGAAGCCATTCCCAGGGCTTCCTCAGGGCGTTGTCAGCCGACCCAGGACAAGGTGTACCCAGCACCGTCCTGGGAACCTGTAATCCCATTCAGCTCAAAGTCCTCATGTTCTCACCTGCAGAGGATCATCTCATGGGGGAGTTGTGGGGAGACAGCCAAGGCTGGGAAACACAAGGCTTACAGATGCGAGCATGTTTTCAGAAGACAAGATAATATCACAGGGAATCCCTTCCACTGAAAGTCCTGTTTTCTAACCCAGCACTCTCAGTTGGTAATTTTTTTTTTTTTTAACGTGAAAAGAGGTGTAATTTTATCTTCCTTTTTACTACACTCTTTTATACAGGAAAATAAGCCAGTGGGCACCAGCATCTTGCAGCTGGTGGTGACAGACAGAGACTCCTTTCACAATGGGCCTCCCTTTTCGTTCTCTATTTTGTCGGGAAACGAAGAGGAGGAGTTTGTGCTGGACTCTCATGGGATCCTTCGGTCAGCCGTGGTCTTCCGGCACACGGAGTCTCCGGAGTACGTGCTGTGTGTCCAGGTATGACCCGGCTCTCTGCCCATGTCGCGCTAAGTCTTTCTCACGCTTGTTTCTGTCCCCTTGGTTCGTTTTTCTTTGTTGAGCAAGTCAACATAATTCATTACCACGCAGGAATGTTCCCCTTTTAATCTCAAATTCAATTTCACACCAATAAAAGCGGCCTCTGTGTGTGAAATTGAACAGGAAGGAAAGGAAGCAGCATTGTTCAGGAAGGATGTTCCAGTAGGGTGTGCCCAGCAGACAGTCACTGGGCTTAACTCTGCATTCTAAAAATTCCTGTGGCTCTAACTGACCCTCCAGACACAGCTCATTGGTCAACGCTTGCTGTTTTAAAATGAGTATTATTTGCTGCATTGCCCCATTTGGGGAAACTGCCAATCTCTGTCTTCGTGAGATTTAGCCATTTCATGCCTCTGCTTGGTAGGCCTTCCCTGGGGAGGCAGGAGGGGACCAAGGACTCAGCTGGCAATAGCCTCCTGGCATTCCAGTTCCTCAAGGTCATTGGTCTGTGTGAAATGGAAGGTGACACAGAGGCAGGTGTGACAAGGGTATGGCAAGGAGCAGGAAACGAGAGAGCCCCCAAAAGTTCCTGCATATAAATTTTGCAGACACCAAGATTTGGATCCCATCACTGAAACTGAGTGACTTTTTCTACCCACAGTTAGTTGCCCCCAGAGGGCAACCTAGACTCATTATTAATGGTGGCAATAATAACAACAGTAATTCTTTATATTGGTATAGCATTGACTCTTGTATATATTGTCTCTTTGGCTAAGATAGAGCTTAATCTACCCCCGTGAAACCTTCCAAATTAATGACTTCCAGCTTTCAGCATGTGGATGAACTCTTAAGCTGCCACCTGCTCTTCCAACAATATTATGTAAATAAATTTTGATCATTATTTTTGTAAAGATAAGGTCTCTCTGTGTTGCCTAGGCTGGTCTTGAACTCCCGCCCTCAAGCAACCCTCCCACATTGGCCTCCCAAAGTTCTGGGCTTACAAGCCACCATGCCCGGCCATAAGTAATTTTATGTTGCACCCTAGGTACTCAAGGCAGGGAGAGATTCTCAGTGCCTTCTAACAGAAGCTGGTCCAGTTCTTCACACACCCTCTCTGGCTGTTAGGAAGCAGATTTCATACCTTAGGTTTTGCAGTCTCCATGGAGGGCTCCTTCCCCCTGGTCTCTTATATTAAACTGCCACCAAGTCCTGTGCGCTCTTCCTTCACAAGGTCCCTGTGTGCATCACGTACATTGCCTGTGCCACTGCCCAGCTGTGTTCTTCACTGCCCCACCGTCATCCTGCTGCTGCAGGAGCCTCCTAACTGATTCGTCTGGCTTCAGCCTTATTCTCTTCTGCTCCACTCCTACACCCCTCCCAGATTAATCATTTCCCTTTGACTCCACCATTCTCCTAAACCCTCAGCAAACTGGCCGAATCCTGCCCTCAGCCTGTTTTTAGAAATAAAGTTTCACTGGAGTGCAGCCTCACTCCTTCATTGACACGTGCTCGGTGACGGCCCCTGTGCCGTGAGGACAGCCTGGAGTGGTCGTGATAGAGGCTGTATAACCCACAGAGCCTAAAACATACATTATTTAGCTCTTTTCAGAAAACATTTGCTGATGCCTGACCTAAACTATGTATGGCTTCCTGGTGTTTGAAAACATAGGCCCTGCAGGCTGGAATTTGGCCCCAGACTTTTAGACTTGCAATTTCAGGGCCTTTCAGCAAATACCACACTCCAGTCCTTCTCTGGCCACCAGGCCCATTCCTCTGTCACCTTACACCTGGTGGCTCCATGCCTTTCTGTCATCTTTCTGGCCTCTGACATTAGACTGGGCACCCTCTGGCCTATACAGTCCAAACTCATCCCTGTCCTTTGAGGCCCTCCACAGTTTGACTTCAAGTTCAACCTAATTTGTTAACGTTATCTCCTCCCATGTGGATTTTCCATTGCAGTGTCTCTGGTTCACATCCTCCATCAAATACATCATGTGATGGTGGTAATAATAAAAACAACATTCACATGAGCCATCATGTACTAAGCATTTCTCTGGATGAGGCCTGTGTTAAACACTTTGCAATCACTCATTCCTTTAACCCTTTGCACTCAGATGTCGAGTGTGACTCGACACGGTTAGCATCAGTAGCAGCTCATGCCATGAAAAATTATAGAGATTAAAATTACTCTTTGAATGTATCCATAATTTGAAATATAAAATAATCCAAATAAATACGTTTGCATGAAAAGAAACTCCAGTATTTATTATTCTGGGGTATTTAAAAAATTAAATCCCGAGTAGAATAAAGGAATCGAGAAAAAAGCAAGCGAGTGCAAAGGGTTAATCCCCACCATACAAAAACCTGTGAGGCAGATACTACTATTTTACTCACATTAAAGGTATGAAAATGGAAGTTCAGAGAAGTTAAGGAACTTACTCAAAGCCAAGCATGTTGTGGGTGGCAGAGACAAGATTCGAATGCAGGTCTGTGATGCCCAGGCTCTGACACTGCCTTCCAGAGACAAGGATACGTCCCTCCCAGGTCCCACCTGGCCTGCAAGGTCCACTGCAGCTCCACATCCTCAGACGTCCGCCCTGTGCACCCCCCGCCATGGGAGTCCCTCACCACTGACTCCCTCTATGGTACATGTGGCAGGTGATCAGTAAGGGTCTGTTGCCAGAGTGGTTGTCCTATCAGTTCTTATGTGAAGAAGGAAGAGAAAAAGGTTTTTGTTCAGGCTACTTATTTTTCCCTTCTGAGTGTCATTTGTTATTCTAAACCTTACCTTGGTTAATTCCCACTTAATTTTGTCTCCTAAATGTGCAGAAGAAAGGTGCTATGTGGGCCAGTTGAAAGGAAGGAATCCAACAGAGAACAAAGATTTCTCCTCCAACAGGGAGGGCCACTTTATGAGGTTTCCCCTGTGGTTTCTGCCAAAATTAAAGCAAGGCCAGCCTGTCGTGGGCATGTCGGAGCTTATAGCCCTCTGTCCTCCTTCCCTGTTCACCCCCCGCTGGCTTTATTGTGTTGACACATTTTATTGTCCATAGCAGAGTATACATATGGAATGGAAGGTGATAAATCACTCCTCTTCCTTAAATGCACATCCTCAGCATTTTTCAGAATAGCGGCAGGGGATGGAGGAAGAAGTAAATGTGGTTAAAGGTAGAGACATCTTCTATCAGAGGTTTTTGTTTTGTTTTGTTTTGTTTTTTCATTATTATGACTGTTGTCTTAGAGCCTTGCGTTTCCCCCTCTTGGTTGTTTTAGGCAAAGGACTCGGGCAAACCCCAGCAAGTTTCTCACTCCTACATCCGCGTGCGTGTCATCGAGGAAAGTATCCACAAGCCCACAGTCATTCCCCTGGAAATCTTCATCGTCACCATGGAGGACGACTTTCCTGGTGGGGTCATCGGGAAGATCCACGCCACAGATCAAGACATGTACGACGTGCTCACGTTTGCTCTGAAATCAGAGCAGAAGAGCTTGTTTAAAGTGAACAGTCACGATGGGAAAATCATCGCCCTGGGAGGCCTGGACAGCGGCAAGTATGTCCTGAATGTGTCTGTGAGTGACGGCCGCTTCCAGGTGCCCATTGACGTGGTCGTGCACGTGGAGCAGCTGGTTCACGAGATGCTGCAGAACACCGTCACCATCCGCTTCGAGAACGTGTCCCCCGAGGACTTCGTGGGGCTGCACATGCATGGGTTCCGGCGCACCCTGCGGAACGCGGTCCTCACCCAGAAGCAGGACAGCCTGCGCATCATCAGCATCCAGCCCGTGGCGGGCACCAACCAGCTGGACATGCTGTTCGCCGTGGAGATGCACAGCAGCGAGTTCTACAAGCCGGCCTACCTGATCCAGAAGCTGTCCGGTGCCAGGAGGCACCTGGAGAACGTCATGCGCATCTCCGCCATCCTGGAAAAGAACTGCTCGGGGCTGGACTGCCAGGAGCAGCACTGCGAGCAAGGCTTGTCCCTGGATTCCCACGCGCTCATGACCTACAGCACGGCCCGCATCAGCTTCGTGTGTCCGCGTTTCTACAGGAACGTGCGCTGCACCTGCAATGGTGAGTGCGGTTTCCGGAGTTCCTGCCCGCCTGCCGAATGTCAGGAGTAGAGTGGGTACCGTTCCTGGCATGCATGCGTTCATTCACCCATTCCACTCACTGTTAAGTGACCGCCTACTGTGTGCCCAATACCCACGATGGGTGCTGGGGCAGCAAGAGTGAACTCCCATGGAGCTGTGGCTTAGAGAGCAGCACAGACAGACAGACAAGCCCATTTGAGTATTGTCAGGAGCCGTACTAAGTCCTGTGGGGGGACCCAGTCTAGAGGGAAGGTTTCCTAAAGGGGTTGTCCTCTAGGTTGAGATACAGGGCAAGAAGGGAATAGGGGAGGGGAGGGAGAGTGTGCCAGGCAAGGAGCAGCCTGTATGAGGAAGGGTGAGAAAGGAACCTACGCAGAGGAGATTGAAAGAGCTTTCTTCTGGCTGGCAGGAGCGGGAAAGGGATGACAAATGAGACTTGAGAGCAGGCCCAGTGATCACACAAGGGCCATTAGCCAGGATGAAGAATTTAGAAATTATCTCAAGGCAGTGGGAGCGCTTGGTTGATGTGAAGTGAAGAAATTGCAGGATCAGATCTGCCTTTCACAAAGGGCGTGCTGGCTGCAGAGGGGAATGGATTAGAGGGGCCGGGCCAGAGGGAGGGGGACAAGTTAGGAGAAGGTTGCAGAGGGTGAGGGCAGCGAGAAACAGGAGCGGATGTTAGGGAGCACAGTCAAGGGATATATTCGGCCCTCAGAGCGGCAGAGACAGAATGGCTCATGTTTGTTGATGTAACTGGAGTCATTGAACTTGACCTTCACTGATCAAAGGCCATAGCTGCACATGCCACAGTGATCGGTGAGAAGCATTGCTCTCTCCCTCTTTTCCTCTCGCTGACATGTGGAACCATAAATTCACTGCCTTCTTCTAAGAAAATTGCACCCAGAGTTTTTCTAGCCAGTTTGAACTTGGTCCAAAGGGACCGTGCCCAGAAGGAAGGCCATTTGTAAAACATCCCTTTAGGTAATTGGGGACAGGCAGGGCCCTTGGCCTCTTCCCTTGTGGAAAGTTCTTGGTTGCAGTTTGCAGAATGAGCTCATCAGAGGGAGGCCCTAGAGGTCACAGCTCCCAAGAGACATTTTGACAGCCTCCAAGCAGCCCGGAAGAGTGCCAGCTGCTTGCTCTGTATACCTAGTGAATTCTGTTTGTGTTCTCATCAGGTAGATGCAGTGATGTCCAGACTTGTTGAATATGTAAATTAGCTGCAAAGTAACTCAAAGCATGCATGCTAGGTGAAATGCATTTCTGGCAGATGCTACCAACATGCAGAATTTATGAATGCTAGCTGTCTGGGTCTTACCTAGATTTCCTTTGTAGGTAAACTGATTTATACACCAAAGCTCTGCCAGGGCCTTCATGCAGTGATTCACTGCAGGGCTCAAAAGGGGTTCAGGACAGGACAGGACAAACCCTGCAGGAGAAACTATACCAGCTAATTAATCCTTGTACTCTGAGAACTCATTTCTCTTAGTAAAAAAATCTGTGGAGGCAGCATGTCCTAGGCACTGAATATTCAAAGTGAAAAAATAGTCTCTGCCCTTAAGAGCTAATAATTGTGAAGCAATTATTACACCTACTTGCTGTAATAGTGCTATCATAAACGCTAGGGCATAGACCAAAGGAAAGCTTTCTGTGGTGTGTGTACACAGAGACTACCTATATGCTGGATCTTTGGGGATGAGTATGAGTGTATCAGGAAGACATGGGGGGCTGGGGAGAAGGTTTTGCAGGATTCTTTAAAGGAAGAATTGAGGCCGGGCGCGGTGGCTCACGCCTGTAATCCTAGCTCTCTGGGAGGCCGAGGCGGGAGGATTGCTCTAGATCAGGAGTTCAAAACCAGCCTGAGCAAGAGTGAGACCCCGTCTCTACCATAAATAGAAAGAAATTAATTGGCCAACTAATATATAGAGAAAAAATTAGCTGGGCATGGTGGTGCATGCCTGTAGTCCCAACTACTTGGGAGGCTGAGGCAGGAGGATTGCTGGAACCCAGGAGTTTGAGCTAGGCTGATGCCATGGCATTCACTCTAGCCTTGGCAACAAAGTGAAACTCTGTCTCAAAAAAAAAAAAAAAAGGAGGAATTAAGAGGGGTGATTTTTGTTGGGGGTAGAGGAGCTTACTGTCTATTTTGTGTAAGACACTAATGTTCTAAATGTAGTAAGTTGCAAGGTGAATTCCCTGCTCAGGACACGTGTTCTCTAGTCTCCATAAACCTTTCTACTCCCAGTAAACCTAGAATGCCAGAATTTTTTGTGAGTCAGCTCCCAGACATCCCAAAAGGAGGCGTTCTCATTTGCAAAGCCAGCATTTTCGTGATAAGATCTTTGTGCACGGTCAGGCCAAGCTCTCAGCCTCTTCTCCCCTTTAAATCATTCTTATTAATATAATTAAGCTATAAAATAAAATTCTAGATTTTGGTGGTAAAAGGAGCTCAAAAGTTTGTCTGGCCCAATCCTGTCTTCAGAAGGTAATATATGTGCGATAATCTCCATTTTATAGATGTGGCAGCTGTATGCCTTGCCCAGGGCCATACAGCGAGTGGGAGTGGCATGCTGATTCATTAAAAGGTCCTCTTGGGCCCCTATTATCTGTATCTTAAGAGCAAGGACTCTTCCATCTTTTTATGTGAATCATAACCCCAGTGCTATGTACCCTATCAGAATACTCGAATCCAGTCACATGTGGCATAATGATGTTTCCGCTCAATGGGGGACCACATATAAAACAGTGATCCCATAAGAGTATAATAGAGCTGAAATTCTCTGTTGCCTTGTGATGTCATAGCCATTATAATGTCATACCCAATGCATTACCTTGTCTAGATATATTTAGATATATTTAGAGGCACGAGTACTTACCATTGTGTTACAGTGGCCTACAGTACCCAGTTTAGTAACATGCAGTACAGTTTCGTAGCCTAGGATCAATGGGCTATCCCATGCCGCCTAGGTGTGTAGCAGGCTATTCTATCTAGGTTTGTGTAGGCACACTCTATGATGGTTGTACAATGACGTAATTGCCTAATGACACATTTCTCAGAATGTATCCCTGTTGTTAATCGACGCATGACTGTGACCCTGTTTTCCCAGCAGACTGACTGCCAGCTTTTCAGTATGACCCCAATAAGGCAGAGGTTTTCTCAGACTCCTGTGTGCTCAGAACTTACTAGAAATGCCCATGGCTGAGCCCCACACTCACATATGGGTGGTAGATTTAGGATGGAGCCTGGGAGACTGCAAATGTAGCCTGGGTGACTCTAATGTTGGTGGCCAGGAAACCAAACTTTGAGAAATGTCACAGCAAGACAAAGAGGAAAAAAATTCCTCCAGGTTCAGGGCCAAGTTCTTAGCAATAGCTCTCTTGCTCCTCTTTTTTTTTTTTTTGTAATAAAAATACAGTGAAGAATTGATAAGGTAAGCATTAGGCATTTTTAGGCATGCTCTCATTTATTATTAACAGAAAGGAGAAATGATTGAATTCAATAAATGCCCTTCTCCCAAACACACATATACAGCTAGTATTGTCTGCTCATCTGTTCATTCTGAGAGGTCGGCAGATTCACTAAATGGACTTTCCCACCACCTGGTGGAATAATTAGCATGGTAAATAGAGGTAGCTGTCTGTTCTGGGCTGTGTAGTTTGTACAAATTTTGCCTCGATATTCTATCTTCCTCCCACCTTCTAGTTCATCTTTTTTTCATACAGATTTTTTTTCTTTGGTCCAATTATCATCATTAGCATCTTGATCCAAAATGCTGAGTTGCTTTAACAAAATGAAAGCAGACTTGGATTTTAGTGCCAGAAAAGCTCGTTGCATTCCAGCCACCGCCGAGCATCACAATTGAACAGGACTTCAAGAGATACAAAGTTCTGATGTTGTGCAGTGGCTCCTGATGAACTTCAGATGTTCAATGAACATTGTCACTTCAGTAAGAAAGCCTGACACCAGCTTAAACGAATGGGGAATGACAGATGCCCTCGAGCCTGTGTAGGGGAGGCAAGAGGAAAGGGTGTCAGAAAGGCTGTGCGGATTGTCCATTTTTTTAAATTTCATTGACTTTTTTTTTCAAAAGTCTTATGTAGAAATGTATCAAAAAGGAGACACTTGTCCAGGAGAAGGGACTCCCAGTGAGACCACTCGAGTTTGAGTGTTCAGGGCTGGGATGGCAGAAGTGGAGGCCTGATCTGTCGAGTCTTTATTCAGATATGGAACACAGAATGGGACCCAGGGCTCCAAATGACATGGATGGTGCCTCTGCCATGGGTGAGGCCCTCTGCTAGACAGAGGTGGGTCACACAGCAGCCCTGCCCCCAGTCAGCGGGTTTGCTCATGGGGTTTGCTCAGGGTACGAAGAGGAGCACTGAAGCACTGGAGGTGTTGCTACCTCAGCGAGGTCTGAAAGGATGCCTGGAAGTACGCAAGTGACCAGGATGGAGGGTTCTGGGCCAAGGGGCATGAGAGCCACAGCGTGGAGACGAGAACTGGTATACAGTTCAGTGCATAGATCAAGGCAAGGACAGAGACATAACAGCTAACTAACATTTATCAAGCCATGACCAGTTACCATGCTGTTTTTCACACATACATAATTACACTTAACACTTACTATAACCCTAAAGAATAGGTATCTAACTTTCTTTAAACATTAAGGGCATACCTCTAACCCTTCCTAGGGAGAGGCAAAGATATAAAATGTAACCAAAATGTCAAAAAAATATATATTTTTATGGGTGTGGGGCAGGTGGGAGGGGGGAGAAGGGGATGGGTGTAGACTTACATAATGAGTGCGATGTGCACCACCTGGAGGATGGATGCGCTTGTAGCTCTGACTGGGGTGGGGGAGGGGTGGCAAGGGCAATATATGTAACCTTAACAACATTTGTACCTCCATAATATGATGAAATAATAAAAAAAAACTAAAAAACAAATTAAAGAAACCAAAACTTGGAAAGGTCAATTGA